GCTGGGGCACCTGCGTGGCTCAGTTGGTTAAGCATCCAATTCTCAGTTTCAGCTCAGGTCATGATCTTACAGTTCATGAGTTTAAGCCCCACATTAGGCTCCACACTGACAGAACCTGCTTGGGATTCTCTCTCTCTCTCTCTCTCTCTGCCCCTCCCCTACTCACTCTCTCTCTCTCTCTCTCAAAACAAATAAATAAACTTAAAACTAAGGGGAAAAAAAGGAGAGTACTTGTGATAAGCACTGGGTGTTGTATGTAAGTGAGGAATCACTGAATTCTACTCCTGAAACCAGTATTATACTATATGTTAACTAACTAGAATTTAAATAAAAACTTGAAATGAAACCAAACAAAACCCAAAGAGACAAATAAAAAAATATATAAGAAAATAAAATGAAATAATGTCAAAATCAGCAATTAAGTCAAGAAAAGTACTCTACGCTACATATCTCACACATTTTGACATAATCCATAGATGTGATGTTAAAGTTATCAGACATTAATAGCTCTGTGTTGTTTTGATCTTTAGTATGAGAAAACAGTTCAAAAAAGAATATGGAAGGAAAAAAAAAACAGTAAAAAATATAAACAGAATTTTACTTTTGTTCCATTAGGTCTGTCAATCACAAATACTTCATTCCAGACTTGTATGCCTGTTGTTTCTCTTTCACAACCACCTCGCCATGTAAAGCCAGTCAATGGTTCATTGTTTCCACCAATCCAACTTTGAGAATCCTGTTAAAGTCAAGCATAAATGTAAAATAAAACACAAGAAATAAAGAACTGAGGAGAAGTGTAAGAAATCACCCATTGTTTATTTTATAGATGAGGCAAGGCAGGTAAGTAAGTCCAGCAAGATAAGATACACGGTAACATCACGCAAGTAGTTACGAGAGCAATCCCAAATCCCACCTGAGGTGCTTTGTCTTAGAGAGATGTGGTCTCCTACAAACCTGAACCTTCTCAAATCTCAGATTTTTGCTGTCTAGATTTCTATATAAGTGAGGCCACACCCAGTTTTTCCCATTTTGAAAATTTCCTATGTTTAAAAAGCATAAAAAATAGATGCCAGCTATTGTGACATCTTCTTGTACAGATAAGCACAACTCAATTCCAGAGAGAATGGCTGTCAAAAAAGCACCGCTCTCTTAGAATAGCTTATACTAAAAATGCTTTTCACACTGCCTTAATTTTTCTCTTTAAAAAATATCTACTTTAAAAATAACCACAAGACTTGCTTGGACCCGATTCAAACACTTCAATTGTAAGAAGAAAAAAAAAAAGTCTTTTTCAAAACCAAAAGGGAAATCTGAACTCACGCTATTTTACTAGGCGGTGCTAACTCAGAGTAAAAATGATTGTGTGGCATGATAACAGTATTGTGGGTAATACTAACAATAACATAGTTCTTATCTTTTAAAAACTCAAGTTTATGGTGAAAAATACGCTTCATATTTGCTTTAAAATATTGCAGCAAAAAACTAAAAGCACAGAGAGGAATACAGATGAAAGAAGATCAGCAAAATGTTGACACATCCAGTGGGATTCATGATGTTATTCTATCTTTGGATATGTTTAAAATTTTCCCCATAATAAAATGTTTTGTGTTGTTTTTTTTTTCAACGTTTATTTATTTTTGGGACAGAGAGAGACAGAGCATGAATGGGGGAGGGGCAGAGAGAGAGAGGGAGACACAGAATCGGAAACAGGCTCCAGGCTCTGAGCCATCAGCCCAGAGCCCGACGTGGAGCTCGAACTCCCGGACCGCGAGATCGTGACCTGGCTGAAGTCGGCGCTTAACCGACTGCGCCACCCAGGCGCCCCTAAAATGTTTTAACTAAAATCACAGGACTAGGGGCGCCTGGGTGGCTCAGTTGGTTGTTAAGCGTCAACTCTTGATTTGGGCTCAGGTCATGCATGATCTCACAGTTTGTGGGATCAAGCCAAGCCCCAAGTTTGCTTGGGATTCTCTCTCTCCCTCTCTCTCTGCCCCTCCCCTGCTCACACTCGCTCGCTCTCAAACACTTAAAATAACATAAATTAAACTAAATTAAATAAAATCACAGGGCTAAATGGCTCTAATTAAAAATTGTAAAATAATATGAAAATTAAAATACTTGTAAGATAATTTATCTGGAAAAGTAAATCTTGGACATAATACATGAGTACCTTTGACAGATATCAAGACCTCTATACTTTAGCATACTTAAAGCCCACACAACCTTTACTCAAAGTACCCCATAGGAAAAATTCCTTTGTTTCAGAAATACTTCTGATAAGCTTAGATACATAGTTCAAAACAAATAACAAAACAACTCAAATTAGGAGTAAAGATGTTTAAGGTAGGCCCAACGAGGGATGCAGAAATTTATGAAAAACAGATAAGGCTGGGGAAAAAAAGTGCTGTCCAGGCCACCACCTAATGTGAAGATCAGCCTTAAACTTCCAACCATCTGTAATTATTCCACAAAACTCCCATCCCCAGTAGGTTACCAATTTTATCAATCACAAAATTCTCTTCTTCACCTTTCAGAACCTTCAACGTAAGGCCCTCATCTCTCTGTTGGTGACAAGGCTGCCTCATAGCACAACTCCATTCACACTATATACTAAGGACCTGTGCTTCAGAAGGGACCCTTCACGGGGATTAGAAGATTAATGGTACCCCCTAAACAAGCCCAGTGGGGGCTGTGCCCCTGGACTATATTTTGGAAGCTCCAAATAGATTTTCTTACACCTCCATGCTGTACTCTCCAACCCATTCTTCCGTAGTCATTTAATTTTCCCAACAAGCGATGGAATCATGCTACTGTCCTAAAAAAAAAGCCATCTGTAGTTCTTCATTTACCTATAGAACTATCTGGAGATCTGTTGAACATAACCAACCTTTACTTTTCCTATCTCTGCTCCCAATATTCCCGATAGTCCCCCTAACACACACACATAATTCCTGTTGCTACCATACCTAAAAGGTCACTATTCCCAAATATTTAAGTTGTTTAGTATAGCTCTATCTTTTCTACCTGTTCTCTGCTTGAACTGAGCCAGCAATTCAAGAAACTCCCAACTTTTCTGAACTCTTAAAGAATATTATAACTACAGATGGTTATCTTTACACAGCTTTACACTGCACTTCTTGTGTGAGTCTTAAGAGCACAGGCTATAAATTCTACCTGTTTACCAAACTGCTCCTACCAAAGTATCTCAGCCCATTTTTGGCTCTCACATGTGGATTCTCATTCCGCTAACAATGTTGAAGTGGCACTAAACAAACTGATTATTTTTAAAATTTCCAACCTACGTAAATAACTTAAAAGAATCTACCCTGTTAGAGACATCTGTTTTCATTCTACATTTTACTTATATTCTCATATAGGAGATAGAGAAATAAGATAAATAAGTTCCATGAAGAAGGAAGTTTTGTCTGTTTTTTTTCCTCAAAACATAGAACCACATTTCCATGACAATTACGGGCTTGTAGCAGGCACTCAAAATATTTGTTCAAGGGGTGCCTGGGTAGCTCAGTTGGATGAGTGTCTGACTTTGGCTCAGATCACGATCTTGTGGTTGGTGGTTCAAACCCTGCACTGGGCTCAATACTGTCAATGTGGAGCCTGCTTCAGATCCTCTGTCCCCCACTCTGCCCCTCCCCTGCTTGTGTGCACACACACACTCTCTCTCAAAAATAAATAAAATGTTAAAAAAAATTTTTTTAGGGGCACCTGGGTGGCTCAGTCAGTTAAGCGCCCGACTTCAGCTCAGGTCATGATCTCACTCACGGTTCATGAGTTCAGGCCCCTCACTGGGCTCTATGCTGACAGCTCAGAGCCTGGAAACTGCTTCAGATTCTGTGTCTCCCTCTCTGTCTCACCCCTGCTCATGCACTGCACTTGCTCTCTCAAAAAGAAACATTATTCAATAAATGAATACATAAGAAATTTTAGTTATTAAGCTTCAATGTGTTCCTTTTTGAGCATAAGTAAGAAATATGGAAGAAATATCCCTCTTACTATTCTTCAAAATAATTACACAGACAAGACAGTAAAAATAAACTTTCAGAAGTAGAGATGATTAAAATCATAGGCTAACACGGTTGTTAATCTGACCCTCTCTAAAACGTTAAAAAGAATTGGTGTCTCCAGGGGTGCCTGGGTGGCTCAGTCAGTTAAGCATCCAACTCTTGATTTCAGCTCAGGTCATGATCTCATGGTTGGTGAGTTCAAGCCCCCCCCCCGATGGGCTCTACACTGTCGGCACAGAGCCTGCTTGGGATTCCCCGCCTCTCTCTCTCCCTTTCTTTCTGCCCCTTACCACTCATGTGTGCTCACTCTCTCTCAAACCTAAACTTAAAAAACAAAAAACAAAAAAACAAAAAAAACTGGTGTCTCAAAAAAAAATTAGTGTCTCATAAAAAAAAAATCTATTATCATCTTTTCTTAGTTTACCCTGTAACTAAACTGATCTGATCAGTCAATAAAAGGATCAAAGAAAAGGCAAATCAGAGAGCCTAGCTAATACCAACTAATAAGTTTTGCTATTTTTAAACCTGAAGTTAAGAAGTCTATCTCTGTATCATACTAAATACTGGTAACTTACATAAAATGTGTTCATACATTCACTCAACAAATATTCATTGAACACCCTACCATGTGCCAGCTACTGTTCTAGGTTCTAGGGATACAGCAGTGCATAAGAACAAACATTCCTGCCCTCCAGGAGCATTCTAGTTAATTCTAGAAGCAGCCTCACTGATACTATTTGTCGTAAATTACTAAAAACAAATCTAAGAACTTGAAAAATAGTCATCTGGTACCATTTAGTACTGTGGAGGCAAAAAAAAAAAGAAAAAAAAGCCTTAAAACTCAAAATTCCAAAAATAATCAGTCCTCCAGTAAAATTAAAAGGGAAGATCTTTTAGAATAAACCTCAATGGTAAAAAGTAATCTGAAAACACCCGAACTTGAAATACCACGAACAAACATAAGCCCTTGCCAAAAAGACTTACCAATGTAACTATCAACATAAGAACCCCTACCTACTCTAAATAGTAAGACACAAATTCTTACTTCACCATAGGAAAGATAACATTCCTTGGTAACAAAGTGAAACAACAGCTAGGTAAACTTTATCCAAAGGATAAAAAAAAAATGCTGATTGGAAGGGGTATGTGCCCCGCCCCCCCATGATTACAGCAGCATTATCGACAATAGCCAAATTATGGAAAGAGCCCAAATGTCCATCGACTGATGAATGGATAAAGAAGATGCGGTATGATATTCAATGGCGAATATTACTCGGCGATCAAAAAGAATGAAGGGGAGCCTGGGTGGCTCAGTCGGTTGAGCATCTGTCTTCAGCTCAGGTCATGATCTTGTGGTTCGTGGGTTCGAGCCCCACATTAGGCTCTGTGCTGATAGTTCAGAGTCTGGAGGCTGCTTCAGATTCTGTGTCTCTGTCTCTCTTTCTCCCTGCCCCTCCCCCTCTCGTACTCTGTCTCTCAGAAATAAATACATGTTAAAAAAATTTTTTTTAAAGAATGCAATCTTCCATTTGCAACAACACGGATGGAACTAGCATGTATTATGCTAAGCGAAACAAGTCAGTCAGAGAAAGACAAATATATGACTTCACTCATATATGGAATTTAAGAAACAAAACAGATGAATATAGGGGAAGGGAAGCATAAATGAGATAAAAACAGAGAAGGAGGCAAACCATATGAGACTCTTAAATAC